TCTTTGTGCGCGAAACGTGGAATAATAAAGAATAAGAGGAAGATCGGGCGCGCGAGATCCCCCCCTCGCTGTTGGCGCGCGTTTTCCGCAAAGATCGCGTTGACCGCCAGACATCCTGCGGAAGTCGCTGGCGGCGGCACGAGCCGTGACACCCCGGCTCGCGAGCGGAGCCCCTGCGCGTAGCCTTGCATAACGCCAATAACGACCGAAGAAGTGTTGTCGGTCGGGAAAACGTTCGTGCGCGCGAGCAAGGTGCTAAAAGGATTTGAGCACTGGGATTTCTGTGAGCCGCGCGAGTGTTTTGTTTGCCGCGCGGTCAAGGATAAGTGACCTGCACCGACGGCCCGATTCCGTTATCGCTGATGGCATACACGGCTCCCCTAACTCCCGTGCGACGGCCGTTATTCGCCGTCTACTTTCTTCTAAAACGAATATCCTTTGCTATGGAGATTTCTTTCCTATGTGTATGCAGCTACTTTACGCTGTTCACGGCCTGCTGAGTTTATAATTTATACCGGTTTTTTGGCTTCGCACTTGCATTTCATTTGCTTCTTCTTCAACGGCGTGTTATGTAATTGAGATTTCATTTCAACTGAAATCAAATCATCGAGCTGATTGCCAATCATTTGCTTCGGTCGATCTAACGAGTAAGCTTTATCTGTCAAAGTGATCGGATAAAACGATTTTCTTGCAATATTCTGAAAAAATGTGACGCAATTCTGTATTTTAAAAAAATACCGATGGAAATCGAAGAAGCATTTGTTTAGCCAACGCGTGTCTCTGGCCTGGCAGGCAGTAAGGCAAACAAATCGGAGAGTTAAAGCGGCAAATCCTTTTTTTTTGCGTGGAGACGAGGCGATGGGCGTCGCACTCAAGTCGGTATCTCGTTACATCAAAGGCAAGCAGCAGCAGCAGCAGCAGCAGCAGCAGCAGCGGCGGTAGCGTCTTCGAGAGATCAAGGCAGCTGTGATGTGCTGCAGCGAATAAAAAGAGAGCATCGCAAAAGAAGTTGGAGGTGTGTGCCCCACCTTTCTCTCCCTTGGTGTACGTATATCGCCTCCCTCGCTCTTCTTCCGGCGCCCAACGTAATTCCTCGCTCGCTTGCGCCCACGTACCTATAGACAAAGTCGAGGAAGCCTTATCCGCGCGAATGTTCCTCTTCCGGCAACGACGACGACGCCGAGTCGCGTGTCCATACACGAGCGCAAGCGAGCTTCTTCTTTATTCGTTTCTTCTTCTTACCGCCCTCGTATCCTTGGCTTCTCTTTCGTTCTCGCATTCGTTTCTTTTTATTTTTTTTTTTCACGAGGCACGCGTCTTTCACCGTATTTATCTCGCGCGCCGGTAGAGTGTCTTTTCTTTCGAGTGAACATCGGTCGCGCGTTCTATACATAGCGATTCTCCCCTGCGTCGTTACACTCCTGTGCGCATTGTACATTTGGGACGCGACTGCTTTCAGAGGTGACGGTAATGATGCTTACGTTACAGGCTGATCTTCAACTTTTGATTTATTTATAGAATCTTGAGCTTTTTTTGACCTATAAAAAAGTCGAGCTCACTAAACGGTAGGCGAGTTGCATGGAGCAGTGTTTCCACGATAAAAAGATCGTGCGGAGCCATTCGTAAGATAGCTAGTTTTGAAACAGCTTTCGCCGTGCTACGCCGATAATGACGGAAAAATCGATGTAAATCAAGATCACGTATTCTCGATCTATGTTGCCACCATGCATTTTCTAAAATCCCGATGAGCCATCAAATACCAATTTGAGAGTCATTCGATTCTCGTCTGTATGACAGACATAAAACCATTGGCGGGCAATGTTGTCGCGTACAACTGCGAAATATACGTGAATCGCGCTCGGTAAGCCTGGATTTTCCGTCTCTCGAAACCAAGGGAGGGCGAAAGGCTCGTTAACCCGTGACAACTGCGCGCACATAGGGGGGGTATTAATAGTAAGGGTGCTGCCCTTCGCACAGACAGCCAAGACGCGCGGGGATGTTTATACGAAATCACCGAGAGAGGGAGAGAGAGAGAGGAGAGCACTCGACTATAATAGCGCCGCCGCTCATCGAGGCCAATGGCTTTTCCGTGTAGCCCCGTTGCGCTTTCCGCCTCACGGCGTGCTCCGTGTGCACCGCTGTATTTTTGGGAGCTCAACCGTTTTTCTCGTAGCGCCTAGCTCGTATCCGGCTTCCGGCCGCTGCCGCGAGCGCCGACGATGATAAGGGGGAACCGCGCAGCTTATTATCGTGCGCCTGTGGATACGCACCGAATCTGTCTGTCTTCGCTTAGCGCTCTCCTCTTTGGCTTTGGAAGGCGTGCTTTTCTTGAAAGCTTAATTCCCCCCCCCCCCCCCCCCCTCTTTTTGTTATAACGGTAGCACATAACGATCGTATTTATAAATCAATCTATTTTTTTCTCTTATTTGCAACGAACTTACCGTCGGTCAACTGTAGGTTACCCAACAATATATCCTACATGGCATCCGCAACGTCCTCTCTCACTTCCCTGCTGGTAAGCATCAGAAGAGATCCGAAATGGAAGGAAAATTTGGAATGGACCGACAAGGTAGATTTTCTTCTTCGCGCTCCATTCATCGGTAAACGCTTGCAACGTCCTCTTTCGTATCACAGACAGCGTCAAAACAGGCGGGAAAAATATTCTCTTTTCCTTTTTCTTTAAGAAGCTTCGCACGAATGCCGTAGCGTGGGAGTAGTAACTTTCGAAACTTGGTCCAATTATACTATTGAATTATAAAATTTTTTGCACTTTATCATCCATTCGACGTATCAGAAACGAGTGGATTTCCAAAAAAGACTTTGTTAATAAAAAATGAAGAATAGAGCGAGAGTACGCGTCGTGAAGCAAAGTCCCCTTTCCGCTATCAGAAATAGTTCTCTTTCTTTAAACCATGTGTGAGCAATCACACGCGTGTTACTCGAGAAAATATTTTAACTCCTCTAATGTGAGTTTCTGGAGCGTAAGAATGTGTACATTTGGAGAGTCATGCGCCGTGGGAAGTACATAAACATCTATTCCCCTTTGATCGTTGGAGACACCCCCGCGGGAACTCCCTGACCCCAATAGTCTTGTTCGGAGTTGTCGGTAATAGAAACTGCCAGGAACCGTTATAACAGCGAGTTCATACGAAAGCTGTATTATCGAGTTTTGAAATCATCGAGGCTGAAAGTGAGCCAGCAATCGTTCGTTGAGACCTACAACCCAATCACATTAGGGAGTCTTGCGGGTCGCGCACGTGTGCGTACGTCAAGTGCGCCTCTCAGCAGTGAACGACTGCGACGCGAAGAGGATCCTACTAGCCGCAAGGATCATTAGTATCCGCTGACGAGTGAGTGTAAGCGACTGACCTCGAGGAGCGCGTGCACCGTGCACGCAGGCAGACATATAGGCACCCCACAAAGAGTGCGTATATCATCTCGCCGTGCGCGCTCGCTGGTGTATCTCGAGTGGCGAGAGAGATTTACGGCTCGAGCGCGCGTCGCTTGCTCACGTGTCGCGCATGTGCCCCGCCAGCACGACGTTGCGCCCGAGCACGGGCTCTTCGCATGCAAATGCCCGTCGGCCTGGCTCACTCTCTCGATTAGCCTGCCTTGCCCCCCCCCCCCCCCCCCCCCCCCCCAGAATTCGTTTTTTGCCCGAGCGACGACGCAACGAGATTTGTTCCGCAACGAGACGGACCGATGGCTGCGTGTATACACATGCGCATGACCGCACGAAGAAAGCTTTCGGCACGACAAGCTGAACAATCGAGGGCTCGTGCGGAATAGAGAGCAGCACACCGGACGCCACGACGATGACTTGCACCGCTGCCGATTCGCCGACTGTTCTGCTCCTCGATCGAGCGCAGACATGTTTTGACACACCTCGTGCGCGCGTGCCTCCGGTCGAGTAACCATCACAAATCACACTTGGTGCGTCAGTTGTCCAGCAATAGAGCATCAATCCTTGCGGTCGATAGCCTCGCGGAACAATGCCAACGCAATATCCGTGCAGAGGGCAAAGAGCGACGGAGCGCGCCTGCAGTGCCGCCGGCATTTCGCCCGCTGGCCTCGGCGCGATGCGGGTCGCGTGATAAGATTTTCCAGCGCGAAAGAGATCAACCCCTCGAGAGAGAGAGAGAGAGAGAGAGAGAGAGAGAGAGAGAGAGAGAGAGAGAGAGAGAGAGAGAGAGAGAGAGAGAGATATCAGCGCGTGCGGTTCTCTGGCGTTCAACTTGGCAGGGGTTGCACTCAGCTACATGCTACAGGGAGAAAACAAGGCATGCGGCAGCTGGTCGCGCGACTGTGATTCATTGCCCACGTGCGCCCCCCGTATAGCTCTGCCTGCTTGATTATTATTCCGGATAGACGAGTTGATGCGCGCCGCCGTGCTTTGCTTCTAGCTCCACTTCGTAATGGAATTCCGCGATCGGCTGTTTCTTCTCACTCGCGTGTCTGGCGTCGGAGAGACGCGTGCCGAGATTTCACTTCGTGTCCTTTTTTTTTTTCTATTGTAGCCTGCGCCTGGACAGTATGCTCCAAACGTTTTACAAGTTCACATCGTCGGCTTCTTACACTCCATTGCTATTTTCAAGAATAATCTACAGATTATGTAATTATTGGTCGAATCTTAAAATATAATCGACTAGTGGAGACCACTTATCGACTGGCGAACACAAAAGCCATTCTGCTTTGGTTATTTCAGCTATTCTATTCAGCGCAAAAAAATCTTGGCATATGCATCAACTGAACAGTTGTGCCAATTCACGCCACATCTGCTCCCGTGCCTATAGAGCGAATCAACAATAAATGCATATCTGACTGCGGCCAACGAAATATCTAATTAAACGATACTCAAATACTACAAAGTCCCACGATTCATATGAGAAAATTACGAGGACAATTATACAATTTGATTTCTTCTGCAACATTTTGAAAATATCCGGCTTAATGCGATACCTGAAGCACGTCAAAATCACGTCATTTTCTTTTTTTTTCAGGCAAGCCTGAAGACACGCGTACCCGGGATAAGGAGGAGAAGTCCAACGGGTGAGTGAACATCAAAGCATTTTGCTCCTCTTTCAGCTCCTCACACGCCACACGCTTGGCAACCTTGGCCAAACGGACATGCATACAGAGGCAGTTCTAATCGTCCACGCACCCTCTCTCGCACGCTTCAAAATTCCAATCTGAAATCCGTCCGAGGGTACGTTAAACTTTAGTCGCGAACGAAGTACAAGTCTCGGACGCCCGCGCGGAATGTAGGCGACACAAAGGACGCCCCGAATTCACCTAACTTCGTGGATGAAAGATCGCACATCCCTCCTACGCGATTCACGCGTGCGTCTTGCCGCATAAGAGAACCATTAGAGAACCGCTGCCACGATTTTTTTCCCTCTCTGCTTCTGGGAAATGTCACACGCGCGCCTCTATAAGGGAACAAGGTGCAACGCACAGAAGAAAAGCGGCTTGTCGTCGCGTTCCGTGCACCTCGTTGCCAAAGACATTTTTTTTCTTTTCTCCGTCGACAAAGAACTTTTTTTCACTTCGCCGTTATAAATTTAATGCGTGATATTGATTTATTGTTGATGAGTCAAAATATGACGGTTCGATATGTAGATATCTCCCACGACTCGCTAAAAATTTGACATTTCTTTTGGAAGAAGAGAAAGCTCGAAAGAAAGTTTTCAACAACTCATTTAGAAAATAAAATGTAATGATTTTACTTCAACGTTCGTCGATTGCAGCACACGATTTAACGCTACGCTTGATACCAAAGCATAATTTTTAGTGTCTAACATTTTTTTTTTATAATTTATTGTATCAATTCTTGATGGAGAATTCAATTACGGTCAAACTGATGGAATACTTGTACATATGTCAATATCTATTCAATTGATGTATTATCTCTATTTCTGCCCTCTTACTTTAATTACTCGTAGCTCATTTCATATGATATATAATCGTATCAGTTTATATATAATTTTATTGACTAGAATATAATAATTTGATGGAATTGTTCCCTGTCTTTTTTAACAGATGTCATTCTAAACAATTCACACAATTAATAGATCTTTAACTTATAATTTGTTCTTGATAGACACACAAAATTTTAAACAACTATTAAATAGTTTAGTGGATAGATATTTGATGTTAAGTAGACTTTATAACGCAATTTCAATACTTTTATATTTTTAAATTCGATATTGCTGTAATATTTGTCATATATGAAAGAAATTCGCACATATATCAGGTAAGAAACACAATAGCTCTAATCATAAATCAATCTTTCTCGGAAATATCACAATGGGCACAATAAAGAAATCAAAGCACGTGCATTAAGGAAATGGGAAGGTGCAAAGTGCATCTCCAAAATGTTCACCTTGGAAATAGAGAAAAGGCACCAGCCACTATAGTTAACACACATGCACGCCTCGAATAGAGTTGCTACAACTCCATCCACATGTACGCATGTGCGTGTTGACACAATGGTGCCGCTAAATCCGTGCCCGTTGACAAAACAGCCAGGACCGTTGGAATCCGAAATCCGCGCAAGGTTTCTCGTTGGACCTACGTCGAAGCTACGGTGGCGTTATATAAGGCAGGTAACACCTGATAGAGAGCCACCCCCCGGGGGGAGATACCTTTTATTCGATCTTTATATATGGGTGATTCTAGGCTATTTCGATTGACTTGTAACCCTTAGGTTACGGATTTTTTTTTAATTTGGCACAATTGTTGTACACATAAAACTGAGATTTTTCCCAAATTTTGGAGACGATACATTAATTATATCAAAAGTTATTAACAATTAAAGAAAAATGATAAAAAATTTTCAAACAGCTATATTTTAAAAACTAATAAAGATATCGAAGTCGGATTTTTTTCAAAATACTTATAATGCCTTAAAATTTCGAAATAATTACAACAATAAACAATAAAAATTTTTTTTCGAAAGTTATTAACTTTTTGTTTAAACAATTGCTAATATCTCAAAAAGTATATTTTTTTTTTGAAAAATTCTTGCTCCTACGTATTCCTGAGGATTTTTGCTATCGAAATCAATCATAAAATTCAAGGGCCCGACATATCGGAAAGCGTAGCCTGAATCAAAAGAAGACGCCTCAGCGTAAGGCTGCGGTAGCGCTCCAGCGGACTCACGGTCGAAAGGTACTTTAGCTTTAATCTAAAAAACTAATAAAGATACCGAATCGGAGTTTTCCCAAATTACTTATAATACCTTGAACTTTCGAAATAATTACAACAATAAACAATAAAAATTTTTTTTCGAAAGTTATTAACTTTTTGTTTAAACAATTGCTAATATCTCAAAAAGTATATTTTTTTTTTGAAAAATTCTTGCTCCTACGTATTCCTGAGGATTTTTGCTATCGAAATCAATTATAAAATTCAAGGGCCCGACATATCGGAAAGCGTAGCCCTAATCAAAAGAAGACGCCTCAGCGTAAGACCACGAAGACGTCCTGCTGTCGTTGCGACGTACACTGAGGCATCTTCTTTTGATTAGGGCTACGCTTTCCGATATGTCGGGCCCTTGAATTTTATGATTGATTTCGATAGCAAAAATCCTCAGGAATACGTAGGAGCAAGAATTTTTCAAAAAAAAAATATACTTTTTGAGATATTAGCAATTGTTTAAACAAAAAGTTAATAACTTTCGAAAAAAAATTTTTATTGTTTATTGTTGTAATTATTTCGAAAGTTCAAGGTATTATAAGTAATTTGGGAAAACTCCGATTCGGTATCTTTATTAGTTTTTTAGATTAAAGCTAAAGTACCTTTCGACCGTGAGTCCGCTGGAGCGCTACCGCAGCCTTACGCTGAGGCGTCTTCTTTTGATTCAGGCTACGCTTTCCGATATGTCGGGCCCTTGAATTTTATGATTGATTTCGATAGCAAAAATCCTCAGGAATACGTAGGAGCAAGAATTTTTCAAAAAAAAAATATACTTTTTGAGATATTAGCAATTGTTTAAACAAAAAGTTAATAACTTTCGAAAAAAAATTTTTATTGTTTATTGTTGTAATTATTTCGAAATTTTAAGGCATTATAAGTATTTTGAAAAAAATCCGACTTCGATATCTTTATTAGTTTTTAAAATATAGCTGTTTGAAAATTTTTTATCATTTTTCTTTAATTGTTAATAACTTTTGATATAATTAATGTATCGTCTCCAAAATTTGGGAAAAATCTCAGTTTTATGTGTACAACAATTGTGCCAAATTAAAAAAAAATCCGTAACCTAAGGGTTACAAGTCAATCGAAATAGCCTAGAATTACCCATATATACGTTTTTTGGCGCGAGATATCGGCTCTGATTACCGGGGAAACTTTCCAAGTCAAAGATCTATCTATACATCACCTCGTGTATTCTCTCTCGGACTGGCATTTTTTCCAACGTTATAGGCGTTGATTTATCTACGTTTGTTTTGGGGGAGATCAAATTGAAGCGTGAGGTTACATTTTCGTGAAATACTTTATTTATGCCTGTTATTTTGGAGAAAAGGACAAGTTCTTCTGATATCTAAATCGTAGTATTTTGTCAACTGATAAATAAAGATGCTATATTTTCTAACGAATTCTTCCATATTAGATCGAAGATTAATAGGAATGAGCATAAAAGTTCCGAACAAAATTTTGTCACACTATAATATATTTTCTGCACAATGAATAATTTGAACGAGTAAAATTTCACATGCAGTTAAATTGTTTTTTGTAATATTTTATACTTTTACGCAAGAAGAATCTCCATCATTATGAATATATTATCAGGATTTCACTATAAGATCAGGCAAGAAAGCAATGCAGTACGCGGAACCCGTTTATAAAAAGAAATCTTAGGCCATAATTTATCCTGTGACAATAAAATCCGCGAAGGGATCTTCCTCCTAGTTTAACAGGAAAAAAATCCACCCTGGCCAACAAAAAAGTATCGAAGCTTGTTGAAAAAGACAACGCCAGCATAACAATAATTCTCATCTAGCAATAGCGAAGTTGACGCCATATCTAATAGCCATTGAACGCGTCTTTGTCACATTCTGAAGATTTTCTTGGTTTTTCGTTGAACGAACGAATCCGGAAAGAGCACAGTCTCCGAGGACTTCATCGAGGACCACTGTACGCTCGATATCCAAGCTAAATGGCACCTTGAGAAGTGTCGCGTGCAGAAAAGAAATGTGAGGGTGCCCGAATAAAGCACGGCACTTTTTTAACTGCCTGAACAAGAACGCGCCGCGATCCTTGTCGCGATTCGACACGGCCAAGGTTGAACACTTATTGCTCGCCGTTAGGGCCCCAGTGTTCGGCTAAGAGCTAAACGAATTTTTAGCAATGGGCCTCCTAACGAGCTGCGGAATCGAGGCTTCCGAGACGAGTGCCTGTGCACGCTCTTTTACCGTGCTGTGCGTGCAGCCCTGATATATATATATATAGACTTTTCAAAGCTCCCGACTATGGGCAAATTGTCCTGCGATGATTCAGCGGGAAAATGCGCGGCTGGATGAGCGCGCACACCACACTTTGCTGCTTGTCTTGGATACAGTCTGAATCTTTATTTTATTTTTTTTGTTAATATCATGTGCATGCATGAATTCCGACCACGCGTGTTAGATATAGCTAGTATACACCCCCTTGATTGATTTGTATAGCTTGTTTCTTTTTTCACAATTGGCTCAATCTTCTTGACAGCGTACATTGTTAAGTGCCGTTATATTACGAAACATATCAATTATGTTATTTTTCGAGATTTTTGAGTTTTTTTAACAGACCTGCGAAACATTTTGTTACGACAAAATTCCAAATGATACAAATAAATATCGCTCATACCATTCATGAACCTCGATAAAAAAACTTTGTTTTAATGATATATTTTATTGCGTCCCTGAAGCTCGTTCCATCATTACTTTTTTAAATTGTACTTTGGTTCAATAGTTTTCTTATCGAAGGCTAATACTTGCATAAAGTACTATTTTTGTTTTCAATCTCATAGCATTGAAATATTATTTCAAAAAATAAGCTGTTATTTAAAC